CGTCAGATAACATGTAGGGTCAATGCTGTTAGCACGAACGGCCGCGAGTAAGGGCCACTGCTGGCCTACTTGCCTACACCCATGCAAGGCGCATGCAATAGGGCTTGTTCGGCCATGTGCGACGGGTGAGCCAAGTCGCGCGCTGCCACCAGCATGGTACAGAACGTCGGCTCGCGATCGTCCAGCGTGACATGCGCCAGCGTAGATAGCTGCCTGACAGCGAGAGATGCGTGCAATATTACGAGGTTGGAGGCGACCGGCGGGGACGGAGCGCGAAGGATATATTAGTATCATACTTGGCCGGGTCGACACCGATCGAAGATCGCGGATACAAGAAACGGCGGCAAGGCGTGGGCCACGATGGGCAAGCCACCGCCACGATGCAGCGCCTGCAATGCAGAGGCGCGCGTGCGTGGACCCAAGGCGCTGCGCGCGTGTGGAGTGTGCAAGCGGTGTTACGACGAGCGGGCAAAGGCCAAGGCTGCCGAAGCCAAGGCCGCCGCGCCACTGCCGCTGAGTCTAACCCTGCCAAAAGGCGCACTAGAGCTGCGCTTTCACAAGAGCTACGCCTATGCGCACAACAGCGTGCGGCCGGTGACATGCGCCATCACGCTAGCCTTGGGTACCTTGAAGGCACGGTGCGACGTGTGCGAGCAGGCCGCGCACAACTACAAGCGCGCTCTCAAGAAGTGTAAGGCAAGACCGCTGACCTCGGCCACCGCATTGACTATGATCGGCGACGTGGATCCCATCGCTAGATGGAAGGCGTGCGTCACCGAGCAAGTGAAGCACGCTTTGAACGCCCTTCAAGCCGCACCGCCCGCTCTGAACGGCCTTGAATGCGCCAAACCACGCTGCTGCAAGAGCTCGGTGGTATGCTCGCCAAGGAAGTCGGCACACGATCACCTATGACGGTGGCGGTATTGCCCTCGAAGGCAAGGTCATTTTTGCCTGCCCCGGGCTCGTCATGACCGACGTCGGCCTCAACGACGGTACGTCAAGCAGCGCAGCAACAACACGGCCACACGTGACACTATTGGATGAGTAAACGATACCATAGAGTAGTGTGATATCTTATATCACACTACTCTATGTTCTGATTTACTCATCCAATAGTGTTGGCTCGGACCAACGCGAGCTTCCTCCTCAGCTCCCAGCCAAATCGGGCAGTTTCTCCCGGTAGGTCGGTTCGGCGCCTTTGAATAAATGTATCTTGAAGTTTGTAGCGTGAAGCACCCCCTATTATGTACCCCTATGAAGCACTCCCTCATGTTATATACAATGTTGAAGTCTTGATAGTAAGACTATTTCGGTTTAATAGATTGAAAGTAAGACTATTTCGATTCATTAGGTTTTTGTATGTACCAGCTGTTTTTGCCCAGCTGCCGCCAGCCATTCATCGCTAAGATCCCTTGCGATTGGCTCCTTCATAGGTTTACTTTTATATACAAAGCCTTCGCACTTGAAATTTGACAGCCTTCAATGACAACAACGTCGTTACGATCGCCTTGCGAACGCGCCGCACCGACCCAGGAGCAGGTCAGTAGTCCTGTGTCAACGTCGCTCACGATCCTTGTACTAGGTCGCAGTGCTCGAGCCCGCCATCTCCCCTTGGATCGGAAACGAGCCCGACTTCTCCTACCTGAGCCAGTCGCCTTGCTTCGAAAACGACCCCGCCTTCTTCCCTTGGAGCGAGCCGCCTTGCTTCGGAAACGACCCCGCCGATTCGTTGACGACGGCCACCCAGCGGTTGCAGCCGAGCGAGACCACCGTGGCCGCGCAGCTTAGTGACAACTTGGACCTCGTGGCCCAGTGCATCGCTGCTTTGCCGACCGAGACAAGCGCGATCGTCGCCCAACTCCTAAAGCTGTGCTGCGCTCTCGCCGACCAAGAAATGCAACGCAACATGGTGGCACCACCCATGATGCATTCGTACGCATTGCCACCGACGTCGCTGCCGATCGCGCCCCAGCCAGTGGCGCACAACTTGGGCTGGACCTATGAAGCC